AAGAAGGAAGGAAGAAGGGTGGGAGAAGGAAGAGAGCGGAGGATGGCCCCAGGATTGCTTTTTAGAAAGTTATTGGATTCGGAACCTTTGTTTTTTGTATGTGTGAAAACTGATTGTGTTGCGTCGTTTTCAATCTCGCATGTGGGGGTGTCCATGGTGGGCACTTTCCAGGGATCAAAAGAACCCCGGGATAAACAAGTTCGGGGCCTGGGGGGGACAAGGGGAGGAGGAGAATGGAAAGAACGAAGAATCCCATAGCCCTGCCGCACGTTCGTGACTGGGAAAAACTGAACTGGTGAGCATCCCATGCTCAGCGTTTTTGATGCTGTTGCTGCTCAACATGGGATGATAGCAACTTCGATTCGCAACTTCCCCCGTGCAGTATGAAATTCGGCCTCTGCGCCCATCTCCACAATTAAATCCTATTGAACCGGGATAAAACAAGAGGGGGTTAAGTGGGGTATGTATTATTATCTGGGGCAGTCAGTTATCGATCTCACTGTCGATCTCACAACAGATATCAATATCAAAATCACTAATTTCCAAACCATCCGCTGATTGGAGATTTTCTACGATGATGCTACCAATGCGAATGCCACCAGTACCGCTAGCACGAAGGGGCGCGAATACAAATACTGATACGTGGGCTGATACGAATATTATAATTACCGAGTGTCGAGGCGTTGACAAGGCTACCGAATCAGGATTACTTTCTGTTAGGCCGTCGAAGAGCGCCAAGAAATCATTTCGCCAACAGCGCTTGCATTGAAGAGGTCATAGCGGATCTTGAAAAATTCAGCGAAAACAGGCGGCCGATTTCGGTAGGCGGCCGGGTTCCTGTGTTCCCGGTTCCAAAATCCCGGGTTCCCGGGTTCCCGGGTTCCCGGGTTCCCGGTTGCTGGTTCCGAGCCGATTTCTTTGGGCGGCGGCGTTCCCGGGTTTCCAGGTTCCTGGGTTTCCGAGTTCCCGGGTTCCTGGTCGATCTCCTGATCGATCTATCTCACCATCGATCTGAATACCCAACTCCCGATCAATTTCACGATCGATCTCACTAGCGATCTCACTATCGATCTCACCATAGATCGCACGAGCGATCGCACGATCACTCTCACGATCGATCTCACCGGATCGATTTCACTATCGGCTTCACGATCGACTTTACCAATCGATCTCAGTACCGCTCAACCAATCGATCTCAATGTCCATCTCATGAATTTACAAGCCATCCACTACTTGGGTTTACTCTTGTGTAATTGATTTTGGCGTTCTCGCCTCTTCGGCTTCCAGACGCTCCAGGACGGCCCAAGAGGCCCCCAAGGTCGCCCCCAGACGGCCAGGCGCGCCGCTGGAGGCCCTAGAAGGGGGTGGGTGGGTCGGGAACCCCCCCCTCCCCCCTTCTCCCCGGTGGGGCGTCCCTGGACCCCCCCCAGCACTTTCCCGATCCATCGTCCCAGACCCCCCACCCCTTTCAAAGGGGGGGGGCGTTGAACCACCCGCCCTCTTGGATTCGAAAATCGGACCTCTCCCCCTCCCCCTTTAGCCACGCCGCTCCGGAACCCTACCGCCTAACCTTACCGCCCTGACCCTAACCCTAACACCCTAACCCTGAAAACTTAACCCTGACACCCTAACCATGACACCCTAACCCGAGCACCCTAACCCGAACACCCTAACCCTAACACCCTAACCAGAACCCATACCACCCTAAGCCATAAACCCTAACCCTAATAACCTGACCCGAACCCTACCGCCCAAACCCTAACACCCGAAACATTAAACCCTACCCCTGCCTAGCCCTAACACCCTACTCCGAGCCACACCGCCCTAGCTCGAAACCTAACACTCTAAGCGTGACACCTTGACCCTAACACCAATACCCTCACACCCTGGCAATAACACTCTAACCCAAACACCCTAAGTCGAACACCCGAATCCTAACACCTGCCAAACACCCTGAGCCTGATACCCAAACTCTAGCACCCTAACCCTAGTACCTAAGCTCTAACCCCTAAGCCCTAAGCCCTGAGCTCTCAGCCCTAAGCCCAAGGCCCTAGACCTTCAGCCGTGGGCCGTAAGCCATCAGCCATAAGCCATAGGCCCTAAGCCTTAAGCCCTAAGGCGTAAGCCATAAGCCCTGAGCCCAAATCACTATGTCTTAGCAGCCTAGGCCATAAGCCTTACTTAAGCCATGAACCCGAAGCCCCAAGTTCTAAGGTTTAGGCCATAAGCCCTAAGCTGTAAGCCCAAAATTGTAAGCCCTAGTCTCGGCTGGGTGTACGTACTCCTCTACTCCGCCGTGCCTCCCAGGAACCCACTAAAGTGGCGACAGGTGCGCAGTTCGCAAATCCCCAAGGAGCTGCGAGGTCCCAGCTGGGTGTGCGTACTCATCTACTCCGCTGTACCTCCCAGCAGCCCACGAAAATGGGGACAATTTCGCAGTCCCCCAGGGAGTTGCGAGGTCTAGGCTGGATCTGCGCGTCCCCCGACTTCGCTGGACCTCCCAGGAGCCCACGAAAGTGGCGACCGTTCCGCAGTTCCAAACAACCTAGGAAGCGGCGAGGTCTCGTCTGGGCGCATGTGGCCCCCGACTCCGCTGGACCCCCCAGCAGCCCTCGAACGTGGCGACGTGTCCGCAGTTCGCAGACCCCCAGAGATGGCGAGGTCGAATCTAAGTCTGCGCAAGACGTCATTCCGTTGGGTCCCACAGCAATCTCGAACGTGAGTGACGACAATTTTGCAGTTTGCAGCCCCACAGGGATTGCGAAGCCAAACCTAAGGCGGCGTATGACATCACTCCGCGGATGGCGAGGTCAAATCTGAATCTGCGTAAAACGGTTACTGCAGTGGAACCTCCAGCAGCCTCGAACATGACGACCGCTTTGCAATTAGCACACCCGCAGAAATGGCGAGCTCGAATCCGCTAGACACCCCAGCAGCCCTTGAAATTGGCGTCAATTTCGCAGCTCGCGGACCACCCAAGGATGGCGAAGTCCAATCTGAATGTACGACGTCACTCCGCTGGACCCCCCAGCAGACCTCGAAATCGGCGACAGGTTTGCAAGGCAAGCAAGCAAGCAAGCAAGCAAGCAAGCAAGCAAATGCTGAGTACGAAACGCACATGAGCACATAGCCACTATCACGTGGCATCGCAATACTTGCTGACTGCGACACGCCACGCCGTGGCCGAAGGAATGGTGTCCTGCCAAAACGCTGGAAGGGCCTCCACACCCCCAGCTGCTTCGCAGGCGTGCCTGTAAACTTCCTGGGACCACGTTGCTCGTGGTCGCCCCCTCTTTCTCAGGGTGGGAGGGGGGAGGAGGAGGGAGGAAAAGGGCTGGAACACTGCGCAACGCACAGCGTCGTTACCTGGCAAAGAAGCTGTCTACAGAGGAGCGTGCTGCTAAGTGGGCGGGCGCCGGCCCGTTGAAGCACGGTGTCGTTCGAGACTCTGCTGATGTATACATGGGGAATGCGCAACAACTTGCGCAGACATTGCGCCTGGAACGCGTCCAAACGACACAGCTCGTGCTTGTTAAGATACGAAGTGTGCAGACAGTACAACAGCTGACTTAAAACGCAATAATCAAAAATCTGAATCTTATTATGTTGCGTGAGAGTGGAATGGCTCGATACCCTGGCTAATTTGTCAAATTCTGTCCCTGCAGCTCCTACACGGCGTGACAGATCTGAACCTATGTTGCCATCCTCATCAATCAAACTACCTAAATACACAATGTTTCTTTTCTGTGGGATCGGGGTGCCGTCCGGCTGGAGATCTGAGTCGGCGGTAAGACGTCACCCCGCTGGACCCCCGAGCAGCCCCCGACCGTGGCGACAGCCTCGCAGTTCGCAGCGCCCCAGGGATGGCGAAGTCAAAATCTGAGTCCGCCTAAGACGACATTCCGCTGAGCCCCCGAGCAGCCCTCGAAAGTGGCGACATCTTCGCAGTTCGCAGCGCCCCAGGGATGGCGAGGTCAAAATCTGAGTCCGCGTAAGACGACATTCCGCTGAGCCCCCCAGCAGCCCTCGAAAGTGGCGACAGGTTCGCAATTCGCAGTTCCCCAGGGATGGCGAGTTCATCAAAGTCGGCGTATGACGTCACTCCGCTGGGCCCCCCAGCAACCCTTGAACCTGGCGACATGTCCGCAGCTCGCAGCCCCCCAGGGATGGCGACGTATAACCTGAGTCTGTGTAAGACGTCATTCCGCTGAGCCTCCCAGAAGCCCTCGAATGTGGCGACAGGGTCGCAGTTCGCAGTTCCCCAGATATGGCGAGATCATCCAAGTCGGCGTATGACGTCACTCCGCTGGACCCCCCCGGCAGCCGTTGAACGTGGCAACAGTTTTGCAGTTCGCAGCGCCCCAGGGATGGCGAGGTCAAAATCTAAGTCTGCGTAAGACGTCATCCCGCTGGACCCCCCAGTAGCCGTTGAAAGTGGCGACGCTCTCGCAGTTCGCAGCCCACCGAAACATGACAAGGTCAAATAATCTGAGTCTGCGTAAAACGTCACTTCGCTGGACCCCCCCAGCAGCCCTCGAAAGCGGCGACAGTCTTGCAGTTCGCAGCCCGCCACGGATGGCGAGGTCAAATCTGAATATGTGTAAGGCGTCAGTCCGCTGGACCTTCCGACTGCCCTCGAACGTGACGACCGTTTTGCAGTTAGCAGCCCCCCCAAAAGTGGCGAGGTCGGGGCTCAGAGCCCTGTGATATCCCTCTGGCCCCGAGTGGTTTCGCCAGACGGGCACCCACCTTCGGGCCAGAAGACCCGTGTTGCTCACCTGGTCCCGGACCAACCTTCAATGGAAGATCCGTGGTACCACATCACGGCCAGGGCACCCCAGGCCAGTCCTCCGATGCAGGTCGATGGTGCTACGATCGGGCAAGGGAACCACCTGCTGCACCAAACTCACATGACGCATAAGATGAGGCATGCAGGGTGCCGCACCTTCCAGACATGCTGACTGCTGTGAAGCCGGCACGCCCACCCAAAAACGGCAGGCCTGAGCTGGCAGTGGTCCGCGATCGCCTTCCGCCCGACGGCTGAGCTCGCCCTCCACCGCAGCCCCCAGCGGGCCGCCGTCTGGCCCGGCGGCCACGGCGTAGGAGCCCACGCGCGGCCGCCACCCGCCGCGGAGGCCCTCGCCGCTCGCGCGGCGGGCACGCAGCAGCGCCCAGCCCGTGCCCGAGGTGGCGTCGTAGTTGCCGAAGGCCATGGCCTGCACCACCCCCGCCTGGCCCGGCCCCGTGCCGCACAGTGCCCTCAGCGCGTCCAGCAGGAGGGCGCTCGGGTCCTGCTGGCTGGCGGGGAATCCAGGGCAGGGAGGAGACGTCGAGGGCAGGCTTGCGGGGGAAAGCACGAGATGCGCAGGGAACGAAGGGTTCAGAACCGGAGTGGCCACGGGCACAGACTGCAAAGGAGCTCGAGTCGAAGGCCAGCACCTATCATTGCCCATTTTCCCAGGAAGAGCCCCGCCAGCCCTGTGGGCGCAGGTGGTCTGAGGGTACCCGTCAGTCGGAAGAAATGGGTAGAAACCTGTAGAAGGCGTTTAAAGTAGATTGGGTTTGCGCCCGCCCCCTGAAGAGGAGAGGAAAGGAAAGACATTTCGACCCGTGAAGTAGGAAGACGACGCCCAAAATAGATTGGGATCTGGGTATCCAGAAACTCTTTCTCCTTCCCAAACATGTTCTCCTCTTCGGAAAGGGGGGGACCCCTCTCCCCCTTCCCCCTTCCCAGTGGGGTTGAACGTCGGCGGGGGGGCGCGATGAGTAAGATACTCCGTCTTTGGCCAAGATGGTTCCAAGAGGGCCTCCGATGCTCCAGGGCGGGTTTCAAGACGGCTAAGGATAGCCGAAGGTTGCGTCGTGAGGCCCTCTTGGGGTGGTTTTGGGCGCTCGGGGTTTTCTTGGAATCTTGTGGGGGGGCACCCTGAGGTCTCCAAAGCACATCGGCAGCAGTACAAGACGGTACGGCAAGCATCATTGATTCCTTAGGTGTTTGAAAGAGTGACCTCTTGGAGGGGTCCTGGGGGGTGCTCAGAGGACACTTGCGGCCATATTGTGGCCTTCTTGGGGCTGCTCGGAGATATCTTCGGAAGCTATAGTAGCAGAGGCCCTCCAAGGCTCCCAAAAGGCCTCCAAGAGAGCCCCAAGAGGGTCTAAGACCCTCTAAAAGAGCCCTAGAGGACCCGAAGACCCTCCAAACTAGCCAAAAGAAGGCTCCGAAAGAGCCCCAAAAGGATCCTAAGAGGGTGCGAAAGGGGCTGGACGGCCCAGCCAACAGCTTCGCCTCAGGCGAAGCCAATCTCCCGCTCTGTTGTACCGTAGCAACGATAGTCCAGGTGTGAGAAGAGATGCCATCTCAAGCAATAGGAAGGTCCTTTTGGTCTCGATAGCGATGTGTGCTTCGCAATGAGGCACAAAAAAATTGGGCGGCCGGCCGCTTGAGCCGACGCGGCCGCGGGCGCACGCTCGTTTCCACGCCTTACGTTCCTCAGCTCGCTCTACAGGTCGGGGGGGGAGGGAGACGAAGCGTGAGCCCGTCGCCCCTATACAGCAGGCACAGCAGCTAACCCACACAAGGACAGAAAAGGAAGCGGGCCCAAAGGAAGGTGGTCCCGTTAGCAAATTGCCTCGCATGTGTATGACGCACTGATCAGGGGGCGTTAAAACTTGATGTCTGACCGGCCCAATATGGAGTATGTCTCTTCAGGTCATGTTTGAAGGTCTGTATACCTCCGATGACTTGTCGGAGCATTGACCATCATGGGCGTGGCCATCCGCAGTCATATCGCAGGTATCACATCACTGAAAGCTGTGCACGATTCCACGCTCCATCATCTGTCGGATCTAATTGATGTTTCCTAAAAGGGTACACTCAGTCGGCTTCTTCAAGTCTGTGCTTGACAAGATCTTTAAAACGGACTCGGCATCGATGGTCAAAGTGGCCTTGATGTTCAGGCCACCCAACTCAAGTATATCTTCCAACTGAGTGGGCGTGAGCGGCCCCGCGTGGAGCTCGCGCAGAGTCACAGTCGTGGGATAACAGTCCTCAAAATTATGGGTTGCTGCTAGTGTCTCTGCTGAATAACCCGAGCAGGCCTGCAAGCGGTGAGACTTGCAGTATGCACCGATCGAGTGAACGACAGGTTTACCAAATAACGTGTTTCCACGTCGTAGCAGGTTTGCCCCACGAATACCATAGCCTTTGACGTCGTCATCGGCGTCTCCACTCAGGCGTCGATATCCTGAGTCGCCATGTAAGTCGACCTCACCCGTGGGGTTCATCGCCTGGTAGACGATCTCCTTCGGGCAGGCCTGTAACTTTCTGGTGATCGCGTTCAGTCGTCGCGCGTGAATGTTGGTCGGTTCTTGGACACGTTGTAGGGATACAGCATACACCATGAACCACACCTGGGTGCTTAGTGCGTATGCCAGCGCACCCCTGAGACTGACGAACATGTCTGCCACCACCTTGGTTGCTTTAGCATCCGCGTCGGCGCCGTTTAGTTCGGGAAGTTGTAACGGACGGAGCTGTTTGATATAATCATATTGATCCAAAGTAACACTGCCGTCCTCGTCATTGGTGTATATCACAGCACAGTTGGTAGATGTGTGCTTGTTGAGTTTACACTTACCGAAAGTATATTCAACTCATTTGACACATGTGTCAATGGTGTCCTCAGTACCTGTCATATTAATGCCAGAGTCATCAACATGCTTGGCCGTGAGCAAGTTATTGCTCGTCTCGAACTCCTCGTCCTCGTCGTAGGACGTGGGTCGGAGACCAAATTCGCTGGTGGTTCTTCTGGGCTTAAGTGAGAAAGACCGTGGAGCGCCCTTAGTGCCTGTGCCCGGTTTCAAGCACTGTAGGCAGTGCTTTGACACGTCGTAGTGCTTGAATCCTGGAGGAGCACGGAGCGCGGTGGCCGATCCAGGCGGCAAAGTAAAACACACCACGCGTTCTTTTTCACCAGTAGCCTCAGCAAGTTCCTGATCGGTCAATCCTCTCAGGAAGGCCATGTTGATGTCAAGGGAAGCAGTGATCCACTGCATCTTGCACGCTGCCGTGCTAGCGAGTAACCTCTGGCTCGACCGCCTCGCTGTTCCCGAAAAAAGCTTCTACGCCGAAAGCCTCAAGGTCCATGAACCCTCGGAGGACCCAGCGTAGTCGGATGGTACGTTCCCTCTCGCCCTTCTTCTTCTGCGCGAACTTCCATTTGCGCACGTATCTCGAAGTCGTGATGTTCGACGCTTTGGCTATCTCCTGGATATTGAAGCATTTGTTGTCGAGCCATGTCTTGAGCTCAGCGAAGAGGGCCTTCGATACTTTATCGGGACTCGCCTGAATGTCAGCTTTAGCGAGAAGGTCGTCTTCCTTGACGACCACAGCTCGCTTTGCAGCGGCGGCAACGTATACTCGCATCGTGGCCACTAGGTCGGCATCTAATATCATGCGCTGCTGCTCGGACAAGACAACCTTCGACATTTCTGCCGTACAGCATAGTTCAACGCATCGATCATATTCGTCTGAGTCGAGTCCGTAGCTGTCGTCTTCGACCATGGTGCACATGGGGGCGTAGTACGTCTAGTCGGCATCGGAGTCGTGAGTGCGCCCCCACTTCGGCAGGTGCCCCCGCCGTTCGTCAGCTACAGTGATCAGCGCTCTGATCTGGAACCGTATGTGTAGGCATGGTAAAGAGGTCCTCTGGTGGAGTCGCCTCCGCCAGTTCCCTTTCCTCCTGTAGTTCTGCGTACCACACCTCCATAACATGCGACTCAATATCAGCTTCTGGTTCTTCGTAAATCGTAGAGAGCCGTCCGTCACCATGTGCTAGTTCGGCTTCTGAAGCTTCTCTTGCGGTTCCATCCGGTGCCGGCGTATCAGCCAATCCCTCAAATTCTGACATGTCCTGATCAAAACCTGCTTGAGGTTTAGTGGACTTCAGGCATTTGATGATTCGTGAATGTGCTGGTCCAGGTATATCATGTAAATTCAGAACAGTTCCTTCTGCTTCGTCGTAATGTACTCCTGGATTCACGTCGTTGTCGTAATGAACCAATGCGCAGCTGTCGGCATAAGTAACCGGAGGTAGCTGATGGATACTCTTGGCAAATTTGACCGAAACTACATTCTCAATTCGAAAGAAGTTTCTGCTAAAATATTGTTAGGGCCAAATGTACCTTAGGAGATAGACGGCTTTCGGTCGTCACCTTAAGCGCCCCTTTCTTGGTCGGCACATCGCCAGAGGTCAAAGCAGGTCCTCCCGCTGATAAACTGGCCACGAATGTCAACACTGTGCGTAGTGCCGTGTTGTTGGAGCCTATTTCTCGGGATATGAGAGCTTCAATGTATGATGTATCCCTTGCATCGCCGTATTGTACTTGAACATCTCGATTGCCCAATCGGATGATGACCTGACCCCTTCCGGGATCATTCTTTGCGACTGGGAACGGGCCATTCCAGCCTCCCCAGTCATCATTCGCGGTCGTGGGGCGATGGTAGTCGACCAAGTCTCCTTCGTCATAATAGTGCTGACCAGTAATTGTCGTCTTAGTGCGTAAGGCACGATTGGTCTTAGCTAATGGCTACTGCTGCGGCCTGTGCGATAGCTTCGATACATACCCTGCGCATCGTCTGTCCACGAGAATGATCCGATGTTTCCGTCGGCTGCTCGTGGTCCAGAACAGGGAGTTCAGGGAGAATTGCTGGTTGTCGTCCAAATAGAGCGTTGCATGGAGCCACCTCGTGATAGAAGGTGAATGCGTTGGCGGCGAACAAGGCTTCGCGCAGTAGCCGGGTGAACACAAGAGGTGCGTCTACTCTATTGAGCTCAGCCGCCATGACGTGAAGTAAATGGCGTAAGATGCCATGTCTGGCCTCGACCGTTGTAGCGCGCTGTCCACGCGCACGCATTCTAAGTTCAGTGCCTTTTTGCAGTGTCGTTGTTAAGGGCACCCTCTCCATCAGAGTAGAGTACCTTGGCCGGTCCAAACTGCATCTAGCGCACTGATGATATGCATCCAGGATACTGGTCATAATCTTGTCTGGTATTTCAATCCCAGTAGCATATCGCATACAGCGATCGATAATGTGGAATATATCGAATTCTTGTTTGTAGAACATCAGATCACAGTCCACTTCCTTAATGAATTTGCCAGGTAATGCAGTAGAGGGCATAACAGTGTGTCCAGACGTGTCCCAAGCTCTGCACTCGGCATGTGTCACAGACACCTCTGATGAGGTTGAGTCTGACACTGTCCAGATCTATCTCGCTTGAGATGAGTCTCATCT